GGGTGTAGGGTTTTTAGGGGTTTAGGGGTTTTAGGGTTTAGGGTTTTCAGGGTTTAGGGTTTAGGGTTTTTATGGTTGAGGGTTTAGGGTTTTTGGGGCTTTGAGTCTGCAAGGTTAGGCCCGACAGCCGTTGATAAAACTGTTAGCATTCGTGGTCTTAAGACTCCGCGCCCTAACCTCTGACCCCCTATTTGACCCCATGCTTATAGGCTTTGACACCGCTTTTGGATATAGGCCTGCAACAAAACCCTAAGCCCTAAATAGCTTCCATTTTCTTTCCCATTATCCCTATCTAACCCTATTACCTATATCCGGGCCTCACGGAGTGTAGAAGTCAACAGAGTGCACACGAATCGCGTCGGGATCGTGCGCCGTTCTTGTGATGCTGTGCAAGCGAGCCCCTCCCCCTAAAATGACCCCCCCACCTGCTACAATCATCACACGGTTTAGGGTTTAGGGTTACAATCAGTACTGCCCCCAAATAGTAGTTTCCCAAAATAAGTGGACCATAATATAGACCCAAATATACTATAATCCGTATTATAGGGACCCCCAAAAAGGTACCCCTAATTTTGGGAATCCCCCATATGATGTTGCTATGTTGGATTCTTTACTCCTAGGGCGAGGGGGCGGGGCTATGACTAGGGGAGGGGGGCTTTTGAGTTCCCAAGGGCTCCGGGTACGGTACATCAATAGGGTTTCCATAGGGTTATAGGGTTTAGGGTTTAGGGTTTAGGGGGTCCATAGGGTTATATAACTAGGGATAGTGGAAATCAAAATGGAAGCTACTATTTAAGGTTTAGGGTTTGGGGTTCAGGATGAATTGGGCTGATCCTATATTTGTGTTTTGGGAACAAAGTATATCCTGAACCGGAACCCTGCAGCCTAAACCCTAAACAGTGAGCCCAACAATTTGAACCCTAAGCCTGAAACCCTAAATCCTAAAGCCCTAAACCTGAAACCTCAAATCCTAAGCCCTAAACCCTAAATCCCTAAATCCTCTACACCTTCAAACCCTAAGCCCTGAACCCTTAACCCTCTAAACCCTTCTAAACCCTTCTAAACCCTCAAACCCAAAACCTTAAACCCCAAATCCCCAAACCCTCTAAGCCTTCAAATCCCGGAAGGAAAGGGTGGGGCGCAGTCCTTCAAGTGGTGGCCTCGAGGTTCGGATCGGGTCTCGATTTAAAAGGGTTTAGGGTTCAGGGTTTTAGGGTTTAGGATTTAGGGTTTAGGATGTTGGATTTAGGTTTCAGGATTTGTGGGCAGATTTTCGAGGTACGGGTTCAGAAATTCTGGAAGTGGGACCCGAAGCAATTGTGATTTGAATGGTGTTGAGGCTTCAGGATTTCAGCTCTGGGTGGATATCTTTACTGTTTTGAGCTGTTTTGATGCAATTTTAGGATTCACAATTCTAAGTTTGGGGTTTAGCGCGAT